AAGTTAGAAGCTCGGGAAACTATCAACAGTACGTGTCTCCCGCGATTATCTAGACATCAGTTGTAGTACAACGGGACATCTTCAGACCAAGGAACACTCCGCGTAGACCTGCTCGATGGACATTCGATTCACGCCGCCGACCGAGGAGGTGAGTCAGAGACTTCTGTCTAGACAGGGACTTTGTTTAGAGATACCTCATCCAGGAAAATCTGACCCTTTCGCTGTCTTCACGTTGAACGGAAGCAAAGTCTTCAAATCACAGACAAAGAAGAAAACACTCACTCCTGAATGGAATGAGAATTTCACTGTTCAAATTGTTAGTCTTCATACTTGATTCCATTTGACCAAGAATTCACGTCCCTCATTCTAGCCCTCTCGCTTTGGCTCCGAGTTTGAGCTAGAGCTATTCGATTGGAATCAAATCGAGGTGGCGAAGAGTCTAGGCAAAGCAATCATAGACATCACGAACATCGAACCCTTCGAGGCTGTCGAGCGCTCAGTGAACCTCGTGCTCCCAAAGTACGGCGAGAAGGGAGTGATTAGACTCCGCATGGTATTCCAGCCTGAAATAATCGCCAAGTCTCGGAAGAACACTTCGACTTTCTCTAGTGCTGGACGAGCAATGACCCAACTAGGCGGGATTCCCGTCAGTGCAGGAAAGGGTGTTTTCCACGGCGTTACCGGAGTATTCAAGCGCGATCATAGCCAACCATCAGAGCCAGCCAAGGAACTACCACCACCACCACTCCCAGCGGCAGGGCAAGCTTCACAGCCCGTTGGACTATCGGATAACCTGGATGCTAAGAGTGTTGCCACTTCGTTCCCTGCTTCCAGCATCGCAGATGGAAGTGCACATCCTCAAGAGCCTGGCACCCTTCGCGTCGGTGTTTTGAGTGCGAAAGATCTCTCCAGCCCAGATAGTAAGGCATACGTAACCATCCGTGTGGGTGACAAGGAAGTCAAGACTAAGCATGTCGGAAAGACTGCTACTCCTGAATGGTGAGTGTTTGTTTAGAACTACCTGAGAAGCTGGATTAAATTAATTCCATACAGGAATGAGTCCTTCACATTCACTGCTGGCCCTCTGACCACGAAACTGTACGCATGGGTCCACGACCACAAGACTCTCGGAAAGGACAAGGATTTGGGCGATGGCGAGATTGATGTCAGTATACTATATCTATATCCATCTAGTCCTTGCTCTTGCTTACCCTGCCCCTAGATTTGGCGTCACATTCAACCCAACACGACCTCCTCGGCAGACGTGTTCCTGGAGCTCCGTCAAGGTGGTCAGTTACGACTGCGCCTGGAGTTTGACGCTACTCTCCATCCGAACCGCAGCACTCCATCGATTTCTTCGAGCGATCGCCAGCCCAGGCTCTCAATCGCGGCGTCGCCGTCTCGCTTCAGCATTGGCAGGAGTAGACGCCCAGCAGCCGACGCTGAGGAGTAATAGCAGGGATTTAGGATATTTTAACATGGTTATGCGAACGGTTTTCTATTCAATACTTTCTTCTGGACTTTTTGCTTTGTTTTCCTGTATCTCTATAAATTGCGTTATCATCATTTTGTGGATACCTGGAATTTCAAGTCAGAATCGGACACCCTAAGCCCGTGCAGGTTGAAGGAATCCCAAAACTGTCCTTGGGACACTAATTTTAACGTGACTCGGTAAAACAAAGTCACCAAATTCGCTTGTCTATACAACTGCGCGCGATGGCGTCAAGCTCGATACGAGCGCCAGGGACTGCAGATGCCACGCCGCCCACTGCCCTCGTACATCCCCTGATCCCATTTCTCCAACAGCAATCGCAAAACACACTAACCCGGCTGTACCAGCTCCCCTCCTCGTGCCTCTCGATCTACCGCCTGCTCGCACCGCTGGAGCGGCAGCTCGTGATGAGCCTCCTCTGGCTCGAGTCCGCCATCCCCGCGGCGACGATGGCCGCGTGGGTCGTGCGCGACGGAAAACAGTTGCGTCCGCCGCATGAGTGGTCTGCGCCGCGCGGCTTCATGATGCCCATTGCCCACACAGGTTGTACGACGGCGCGCTCGACACGCTCGCGCGCCTGCATATCCTGCCGAACGCGGCGGCCAAGCTCGCGCTCAACCCGACGTTCAAGACGAGCTTCCGGCAGGCGATCACGGGGAGGTGCGTCTGTGTTGGCTGATTATTGGGGTAGTGCGTGCTGGAGTTGTTTTGTGCTGACGCTGGAGACAGTGGGACGAGCGGGAGCTTTGGGGTGCCTGCTGAAGTCGACGAGAAGCGGCCGCCGCTTACGGTGGAGGGTCTGGATGGGTACGCACTGGAGCGCTGGGAGGTGCGTGTGCCGGTGCTTGTGCTTCCTGGGTGGATGCTGTAACTCGGTCGAGTCCAGACTATCCTTCATTACATGGTGTCCTCGGGGACAGGCCAGAGCCCAACGAAGCCTTCCACTGGCGTGCTCTATCTCCTGCAGCGCAGCGGCCTGATGGTCAGTCTCCGGTGAGTGCACCCGCGTCCTTCTCCTCCCTCTTCCGCGGACTCTCTGTGTACCTCCGTTATAGGGGCGGCCCCCTCCAGATCACGTCCGAGGGCTTCCAGTTCCTGCTCCACTCCCCACACGACCAGCTATGGGCGCTCTTGCTCCAGTATCTGCATTTGGCGGAGGTGGGTACGATCCCGATCCCGCGAACACGCTTGCGTTGATCACCGCGCACAGACACGGCAAATGGACCTGGTCGAGGTCCTGAGCTTTCTGTTCATGCTGTCGACGATGCAGCTCGGGCGGGTGAGCCTCTCAAATAGGCCTAGCTTTATCCGCATTCTCATCTCTGTCGATACGATGCAGGAATACTCCGCCGACCACCTCGGCGTCAGCCAAAAAGCGATGTTGGAGGATCTGCGTGATTACGGGCTTATATGGCAGCGCAAGGTAGTACATTAATTAACCTATTTATCTAGCACGATTAACGCGCCGCGCCCTAGCCCTCCTCGCACCGGTTCAGCCCCACGCGCCTCTCTACCACCTTGACCTCGTCCTCGCCGCCGCTGCCAACGACTACAACCAACAGCTCCGGCCCCGCAGAGGGGTTCATCGTCCTCGAAACCAACTACCGAATATATGCGTATACTGGTACGGTCGGCGCATGTTCTATTGCTACACGCCGCTGACAATACGGACACTAGACAACCCCCTGCAGACTGCGGTGCTGAACCTGTTCGTGTCGCTGAAGTACCGGTTCCCGAATCTCGTGGTTGGGTCGATCACGCGCGACAGCGTGAAGAAGGCGCTCAACAACGGGATATCCGCAGACCAGGTACGTTGTTCGCTGGTGTATGGACGAAACCCCTCAATGCGTCGTCGCAGATCATCAGCTATCTCATCAGCCACGCCCATCCTCAGATGCGCAAAAACGTGCGGAGACTTGCACTACCAGCGCATTACACTAACATCGTCTCTTTCAGAACCCACTGCTGCCCGTGACGGTCCAAGACCAGATCCGGCTCTGGGAGCTCGAGCGCAACCGGCTCAAATCTGCCGACGGTGCGTGTCTATTTCTATTTACAATAACCACACTACAATTACACTACGCAGGCTACCTGTACACGTCGTTCACGTCGCAGGCGGACTACGAGCTGGTGCTGAACTATGCGCGGGAGCTGGGGGTGGTGCTGTGGGAGAGCCCGGCGAAGCGGTGTTTTTTCGGGACGCAGGAGGGGCATGCGAATATCCGCGGGTTCATTGAACGGCGCACGACGGGCGGGATGGCGTAGTGCGAGGTGTCGTGTGGGGGGTGGTGTTGTATTTTAGTTTGTCGCGGGGTGTGTAATAGCACGATGCACGATGTCCGGAGGGGCTAGTTTGTTTGTGAGGCACCTTGAGCGCGGACGAATCGTAGTACGAAGAGATGTTCGCGGCCAGCCCTCCTGCTGAGGACGATCTACATCGACTGTATTAGCCCAGCACGACATAAAAAGGCAGAATATACAACGTACCTCGCTCTGCAGGCCGTGCACGCGCAGCATGCGTTCCCGGATCCCCGGCACGTCGTTCTCCGGGACGGCGACGAGGTAAAAGCGGCCGCGGTCGGACATCAGCTCCTACGCACCACATACTCAGTACTCAGCGACTAATCAAAAAAAGATAAACGTACCCCGACGCGTTCAAGAAACTGATCCGTAACACCCATCCCGTCCACGCCGCCCGCCCACGCACCCGCGATCCCGCGCGCTTGCTGGGCATCGTCAGCCTCGTCCGGGACGGTGGGCACGTACGGGGGGTTGAAGAGGACGACGTCGACGGCGCGGTGGAGGCGCCGGGCGAGCGGGCCTGCGAGGCTCGTGTTGATGGGGTCGAGCGGGGCGGCGTTGTGGTGCCCGGTGGAGTGGGTGCAGCGGCATGCGTGGGGGTTGATGTCTGTGCAGAGGTATACTGTGGACGACGTGAGTGAAGGGGAGAAGTGGGTGGGGCGCGACGTACGGACGGACGGGCCGAGGATCTTGGCGATGAATGCGGAGACGCAGCCTGAGCCTGAGCTGTCGGATGCTTGTGGTCAGTAGTGTCGTTGTTAGAGTGTACGTGCGACTGACCCGATTTCGAGAGAGATGAGCGGGCGCAGACGCTTGAGGTCGTGCTGGTCGGCCTCGAGCGCGTCGAGCAGGAGAAAGGTGTCCTCTGCGGAGGAGTGTGGGCTGGAGCAGCGTGGAGGTGGGAGGGGATAAACACACCTGCGGGCTCGTAGACGCGGTCATAGTCTTGCGCGGTGAGATGGCGCAGGTCCGGCGTGGGGATCATCGTCGTCGTCTTGGTGAGGACGAAATGTTAGATCGATCTTATCTCCCACTTGTGCACAAATTCCATCTCCACCTGCACCGCCAGCAACACTCGCACTCGCACGCCTCGACTCGACTCGCAGCTGGAGGACCTGGAGGAGGGCAGTGCCAATCAGGTAGAGTGGAGCGGGAGCCGGCATGGCGAGGTGCGGCTGAGGAGCGAGTGGCGCGGAGTGGAGGACAAGGCGCTATAGTGTAGTGGTTATCACTCGGGATTTTGAAGACTAAATTCCCGTAACCCAGGTTCGAGCCCTGGTAGTGCCTGCGAACAAGTCCTTTTTTGGGGACTCGGGATGATCCGAAAAACAACGACGTCAAGTGGAAAAGTTTGGGGAGCTGTGTGCATCCGACCATAATGACCCAAGGCAAGCCCGTCCCTTTTGCTCGCTGTCCTGCGCTGACGACGCCCAACAGAAAAGCCTGTGTCGATCGTGCCCCTGCTGTCCCGCGCGCTCCACCGCATCCGCTCCACGCCCCCGCGCATCATCGCATCCCCGCCCACCCGTCCGTCCCATTCGTCCTCTGCCCCTGTCCCGTGCTAACTACTCCACAGAGCCCCGCAGAGCCGCCGTCGCCCTCGTCATCCGCGTCGTCCCGTCCCCATCCGGCCCGCTTCCCACTGCCCAGCCGACGCCGCCGACGCTCACCGAGTTCTTTGAGCTCGACTGGGTCAACGACCCCAACGCCCGCCCAGAAATCCTCTTCCTCCACCGCCAGAACGCCTCCGACGAAGTCACCCTCGCCAACTCCCATGTCCGCAACGGCAACGAGGCCCATGTCGCGTTCCCAGGCGGACGCATGGAGCCCGAGGACGAGGGCGGCCTCTACACTGGTACGCACTAGCCCCGCGCTTCTCTGCTTCTTTCCTTCCAACACACCCCGCAGCTATGCGACAGACCTGGGAGGAGATCGGCGTCGACCTCGCCGAGCGCCAGTACACGTGCGTCGGCCAGCTCGACGACCGCGAGATCACGACGTCCCTCGGCAAGCGCCTGCTCATGATCCTCTCGCCCTTTGTCTTCCTCCAAGTCACGCCCCACGCCCCGCCGCCCGACCCCATCGAGTCCACGACGCTCCACTGGACTCCGCTCGTCTCCCCAGCCACCCCGCCCCGCTGGTCCACCGTCACCGTCGACGCCGCCTCCCGCCTCGCACCAAAACACTCCACCGCCCTCCGCCTCCTCATCCGTCTCCTCATCGGCACCATGGAGTTTCCTGCCATCCTCCTCCACCCCAACCCCTCTCCCGTCCCCAACGCACATCACCACCAACACCAGCACCTCAAGCTCTGGGGCCTCTCCCTCGGCATGATGCTCGACCTCATGTCCTACATGATCTTCCCCCCGCCTACCCCCCGTTTCAGCTCCCCGCACGAATCCGCATCCGCATCCGACTCGCCCCTGTCCCCGGTCATGCACCTCCCGTACCAGGCCGAGTTTGAGGGCCTCCGCATGGACATTGTCGCTCCAAGCCTCGCTAGCGTGTTCCCCCGCTTCTCATACCCCGATGTCAACTTTTGGATCTGGTGCGTTCATTCTTGCGTTTAACCCACTCCGTGCTGACCCACTTGCTCGCGCAGGGTATTCGGCAAGCGCTACCGTGCTGTCGTGCGTGGCTGGGAAGCCAGTGTCCGCGCAGGAGGCACGAACGATAGGCGGTGCGTTTCAATTTTTCCAGTGTACGTTTCGAGTCTCATCTCAAATCGACGCACAGCATCAACTGGTCCGGGTCGGCGCTGAGTACGTTTTACGCGGCGATTCGCAAGGCCCTTGTTATCGTCATCGTCGCGCGTGCCCTCGGCATCATATGTGGCGTCGCGTTTACCGTGTGGTGGCTCTTTGGCCGGTAACCCGTGCGCACTGCGACGTCGATCCCACCCAACCCTCACGGCGATCCCCACCCCACCCTGCGCCTCTCCCGTGCATCCTTCATTCATTCATTCGTCCATCCAGCCCTGCCGCAGAACGCCCGGTCAGCACATTAGACGCCGCCAGAGTCGATCAATTAATCGGTACTTTACCTTTTTTCCATGCACGCTCCTCCTTCATTGTATCCATTCCGTTCCCCCGGCCTACACGTAACCATAAACATATTATCAATGCTTCCAGGTTCCAAAGACAGTCTCGATCATACAAGTTACAATACGTACATTTGCATTACATGGCGCGGCCCCCCGGCAGGACAGGACAGGAGCTTTATACGTTAACGTTGTTTCTTCCCCGCCTTTTTATGCCTCTTTAGTCATAGTATCACAGCTGCCACGACTCCCTTGCGACGAAGACATATAGCTAGACCACTGGGCCCGGGCCCTGTTTTATTACCTCTGCCTTTCCCTTTGTTACCGCTCCTGTTACTGTTACTGTTATTGTATCAATCATATCGCTGCGTCGCGGGTGTACCGCTGTCGCTGTACTTGTTGTGAGCTGAGCTGAGAATTGGGAATTGGGTACGAGGTGTCGTGGCTTGTGAGCTGGTAGTGGACGGTTGGGAAGCAACCTCGTTGCTCGGTGCCCAGTCCTTATCCCAGTCCTTATAAGTACCTGCGTGCGGAAACTCGACACCTCCGCATGTGATTGACCGAGGTGGAAGCTGATGCTGATTCCGGACCCCGGGCCGCCGGCGCGCGACGCGTCTTGGGAGACTCGACGTGATCATCCGGTCGTAGAAACTCTGCGTAATCTCGCTACACTATATATATGCCGGTGAGTAAGGCGCGTCGCACCCCGTACTCCAAAACACTCTATAACTTCCATGCTACGAAAAACAACCAAAAATGAGTGCGGCTTGAATGCTCGCACTGGGGTTTTTTATTGTGATCGAAGTAGACACTCACCTCCGAGTCTGGCACTTTCTTTTGTTTGTATTATCTTTTTTATCTTGAACTTTTTTTCTTGAATCTTGAGTCTTGAGGCACACATTTAATATTTATTTCCAGTGGTTAATTTTAAGCCCGTCATCGCCAACCGTAGGGCTCAGGGTATCCAGCCATTCAGTGCTTGATATTTTAGTTCTTTTTTCCCGTGGTTATCCGTTATTTTTAATGTTGAGCCCATCATCGCCTTCAGTGCGGGCTCAGGGGAAGTGCGCCAATTTAAATTTTAGATCAGTTGCAATTGTTTAAACGTTTAATGTTGTGATTCAGGCTCTGGACAACCTGTGGGCAACCTCGTCAGTAGACCCGTCATCGCCGCTAGGCTCTGGGTCATTTCTTAGTAGAGTGCACAGGTTTGCGCTACCAGGATTCTGGATTTTGTCTAAACCACGCGTCTGGGCGATTTCAAAATCAGACTGTTCCAGATGCCACGCGAGTCGCGACGCTCCCGTTTTTATTTTTATTTTTGAAATTCTAGTTGTTACCTTTTGATTCCACCCTCTTCGTTGCTTTGGAAAAAACGCTGGCTGTTTCCCTTTCCTTTAGTAGGTGTGAATTCTTGTGGGATCAGGGAACGAGGGACCGATTTTTTTTCGACACTAATCGCACTAGTCTTGCTTTATCATTCTGCTTACTAGTACCTACCGCCACACGTACAAATACATGTCAAAGATAAATGCGATAGCGGGGCTACAGTGGCAGCCCACAGACGTCGCAGTCCGGGCGGCTGTGTTCGTTCTCGACGGTACAATGGGGGCAGAACCGGATGCCCATACTGCTGCTGCCGCTGGGACCTGCACCACCCGCGCGGGCGGCTTCTTCCGCTGCGATCTGGTCAAACACTTCTTGCGGTATGTCTTCGTCCATATGGGAGGACGTCCCAGGCGCCGAGGACGTTGGCCGCGCGGCTGTAATATTTAGATGAGCATGTGGTGGAACGAGAAGAAGAAGAAAACGCACGGGCACTCTCACGCGTAAAGGTCATCAGGGTCTGCCATCCTTCCGTCGCCAGCAGCGGATCGAGCAGTGGCAGATCATCGAGGAGACTGGGTGACGAGACCGTCTTCACAAGCACCTTCATGTCCTCCTGTGAACGCGTGTATTTTTTTAAATAAAAAAACGTCGATATTGCGAAAGAAGACGCCTTACAGGTGAGAACAGTTGCGTCGTGCCCAGGAACGCGACAAGATGCCAGTCACTCAGCCATTTAGCGAGCTCCAGCCGTTTGCGGGCCTCACCGGGCTTGGCCGTGTGGTTGTCGTGAATGTTTGGCGCGTCGAGGTCTGCCAGGGCAGACATGACTTGTTCGACGCGCTGATCTTCGAGTCCAGGTCGGTTCTCGATCTTGAATCGCGTGGAACGGAATAAAGGAGATGGGTTTTGAGGGAAGCCATGCGTTACCTATGTCGATAACAGTAGAATTAGCACTGCGCCGCGTTGAATGCAGCAAGTTGAAACATACATTCAACATCAGATATTCGACAGGGAAACATGGCTTTGCACTCTTCTTGACTTCAAGTCCATACTCGTTCTTGTACGTGAAGAACACATCTGGAACGTAACGCGCCGAATCCTTGTTCCTATCTTCCTCCTTCACTCTGACAATGCCAGGATCCACGCTGGCCTCGATCATATCCGCGTCCACCATCGCGACAGCCTGTTCCGAAACTTGGTATGCCGCAATGTCCACCTGTCCATCCTCTGTAGCCGTCAGCACGGCAGTCACCATGCGCGAGGCAAACTGCCCCGTGGGCGACGACTGCGACACGGTGGGGTTATCCTTTTGCATCATCGCAGCAAAAATGGCCTCCAGCGACGAGAGGTAGAACGACCCAGGGTGTCGCTTGTACACGTTCTTGGTGCGGTCCTCCGGTGTCGGGTCCAGGTCGGTGAAGATGTATCCCACAATAGTGAGCGGATTCGCGGCAGAACTGGCCAGCTCTCTTATGCGCGGCTCGTCATCCCACGGAAGACCGAGTGTTAGACCGTCCAGCTCTCCCTCCTGAGGCGGTTCATGGATAGCTTCGACGACGGCTTTTATGCCCATAGGAACTTTGTCATACGGCTCGTAGCGGCCGACGAGCCACCCAAAGCGTTGAAGCCCGGTGCTGCGCCACGCGTGCAGGAAGCGGTCGATGATGTCCGTGGAGGCGATCTCCAGGTGGTCGACCATTCGGAAAGGCTGCGACGCGAGCGTAATAGCAGACGGCTGGCAGGCTGTGCATATTCCAGCTGGCCATGGTGCGTGGCCCGCGCTCGGACAAGGTACCTTGACCTTGTAAAAAAGAGGTGACAGCGGAGGCAGGGAGGAGGCAGCAGATGCACTGGGCTTTGGAGTGATTTTCTTGAGATATGCGTGGTATGAGAGGTGCTTGATCTGGTTCTCCTTGTG